GGGATATGATGGCACACAGCCAGCCCTGCCTATAGTACTACTCTTGCCAAAAAGCAAGAGGCCAGCCTTGGGGCTTCCCAGACCCACAGTCAGCTGCCTAAGTGCTCAGCCATGCTCATGAAAGGGCCCCCTCTTCCTCTCTTTTCAGCCCTGCGCTCTAATTTATCCTCCCCTTTGATAACCAACTCCAAACACATTCAGCCGAGGCCGGGCCATCAGTGCACAAAGGCCTGTGCTCTCTCTGCTGAATGCAGCACTTCACTCTTGGGGGGATTTCTATAGAAGGCAAAATCCACCAAACAAGCTATTACACTTAAATCAGACAATGCCCGAGGTGGCAGCGAGGAGACCAGCGTTAATGACTCAGCTAGCAGCGGGCTTCTCTATTTTGAAGCTCTACCCCAGCATGGGAGAGCAACCTGCTGCCCTTCCCAGCCTCTGCCAGATCCCTCTCCTCCTGCTCCTGGACTAGAAAGGTGACCCTCTGTGTCTGCTGGTTCTCTGAATTCTGAGTCCTGATTCCCCCTAGACCCACTCTACTGACTCCTGATTCCCCCTGCTCAGGAATAAGAACAGAGCAGTGAGTTCCCTTCTCTCACCTTCATTCCAAAGAAGAGGAAACCATGGTAACTATTGAAAGGCAGAGAGTCAGCTGGTGACAGAGTCAGGACTAGAACCCTGGTCTCTCATCTCATTTGATTCATGCAAGAACTAATATAAAGTAGCTGATGTGCATAAAGTACACAGCGTAGCTGGTCACACAGACATCCTCAGTAGTGAATGTCAGCCATAGTTATTTGTTACTGTGGCATCACTTTTGTGTAGCTCGGTCTTCTGTCCATGGGTTGCCTATCGGGTGACAGGCAGCCTGCAGATTGCCTGGCATCGGACAGTGAGCATGAACATACCACACCCTTCCCCCCTACATCTTAATTTCTAGCAGGAGATTTCAACAAGCAACGGCAGTAATGAGTAAGAGGTGGTAGCAGAGGGGAAGTAAAGGTGTTTCTAGAAGCTGAAGGTAGAGCTCACCCAGACTTAGGGGCTCAGGGAAGAGAAACCAGGATCTCAACTGAGAAGAGTAAGTTAAAGTTAACCAGGTAAAGAGCGATAAGGATGAGAGGAGAGGCTGCTTACATAGTTTTCTAGACAAAGGGAATAGTTAAATGTGCAAAGGGGAATAAGGAATGAAAAGACAAATGAAGGTAAGATCCATCTAAAGAAAGGGCAAAAAGATGTCAGTGTGTTTGGACACATGGTAAGATGGGATGAAGGTGGGGTGTCGCCCGGAGGGAGTCACTGGTCATGAGACCTGGGACAAAAGAGAAACAGGCCCATGTCGTCTCATGAACAACGCGGGAGGCCACTGAGAGGAACCAGGACTTTAAGTTGAGAAATAAGGCATGACTCATGGACATGCTGGAGATCAGAGGACCTGTTATGAGACCGGTAGGCAGCAGCAAGAGCTGTTAGCTGGTTAGACACCGGTTCAGCACGGGGCCCATGTTCCATTTCAACACGTTATTTTTGGCTGTCATCTCGAGTCACCAAATAAGTCCCTCCATTAACAGAACTGATGGAGGGGGAAATAAGCTGAAAGAAGAGAGCTGTGGCCACCGGAGCAGAGGAACAGAACAATGGCTTTCCCCCAGCCACTTGGGTCATTACCCAAAATGCCTGAAGCACCATGTAGTGAGATGAAGATCTTATCCACCAACCAGACATGTGACCTTGGGCCACCTGCATTTCTCCATCCATACCAGGACATCTACTAAGTAATTGGTAAACTGCATTGCAGTCCTTATATTCTATGTTTTCATTACTTGAAATATATATCCTACATTTTTTTTATTCTAAGATGCCTTGTTTTACACTTTGTGGTTTGTGAAACTGGGACAAAATGGTTCTCATCTTATAGCAAAGCAAATTCAGCTCATCAAAATCAAGTATCCTGTGCAATGATCAAAGACTTCTTCTTTTGGGTTCTTTCATTCAGTCCAAGAAAGGCCTGCCTCTGACAGCAGCCAGGAAAAGCTGAGTAGGAGCTGCACTGCAGAGCTGCTCTAACCTCTTCTGGCTACCTGTATGTGGACCCCACTCTTCAGGAAACCCTTTTTCCCAGGCCCTCTGCCCTTGGGCCTGCACAAAGGGCATTCTGCAAAGAGCCACAGCACTCTTGCATTGTCCAGTAGCTCTACCAGCTGCTAAGGTAGAGGCCAAAGTTACAAGGTTTTTGGGAAAATGAACAACAACCAAAAAAAAAAAACAAAAAACAAAAAACAAATTCAGACTGGGATGCAAGAAGAAAAACAACCAGCTCCAAGCTGTTTTTGGCTGGAAAATGCTCTTCAGCCATGGCTTTAGGACGCAAGCAGCATAGCATCCAGAGGCGCACAGCTGCATGGAACAATTCAAAAATTGCCTTGTTGGACTACAACGTGCCAATTTTTCAAATCTAGAGCCATTTTCACTATTACAGTGTGTGCAGCCTAAGCCTGGAGAATTTTCTTCTGGGAGGGAAAATTGATTCTGAGGTTACCATTAACCCCCATTATCTCAGCACGCCCCATTCCAGAACTATTCTTGGGAACCAAGGGGGCTAGAAGAAGCTATAGAGGCCCACGGTGAGGTTGGTGCCCAACATCACAGACGCTAACGGCCAAAGTCCATTAGCCCCATGTCTTGGAAGGGTATAAAAGGGAGTGGGATGGACAGGGAGAGAAAGGCAGCACAGAGAGATCTGGGAATGTGCTTTCTGGGAATTCCTCAGCTTTGCATGTTTGCCTGCATACCATGTTTCCATTGGGAGGACTGGGAACTTGCATGAGCTGAATAGCAGAAACTAAGGATAACACCGACGTTGACCCCTTCACTTTGACCTGCAGTGCTCACCCATACGGCCTTCTCCAGCAGAGCCCTGAGCTTGATGAAGGAGCACTCTCCTGCAGCTGGCTTGGATGATGCCCATGCCATCCAGTTCTTGCACACAGCTGCACAAGACCCAAATCTTTCAGATGCAGAAGGATAAGGCAGCTGGTTTTGTCTACCCCAGGTGCTCCATGTGGAAAACCACTCCAATTCCTCTAGACACAGTTAAGAGCTAGCAGCCTTTATCATGGGGCATGCTGTGACCTCCACCTTTCCAACCCACCAGCCCAGCCAAGAAGTCAGTGGTGACAGTGCCTGCTGCAAAACAGGAAAAGAAAAACAGCTGGGTGGACAAAGAGGGCAAAGTGACTGAGGAGAATTGCCCATGTGCTGATCTCACAAGCATCATTTTTCTGCACGCTGGTGATATAGCGGTAAGCACTTCAAATCCAGAAAGCCCAAGTCTGACTTCTGGTTCTGCCTCTTGAACCTGAGACTAGTGACTCCCTAGTCTGTGAGCCTCCTTTCTTTTCTCAGACCCTGGAAGCAAAAGTAAGTACCAACAAGGTTACTGTCAACATTAAATTAGACCATTAGACCATATAGGCAAGTGACATATAGTGTTCAATAAATTGCACACACACAGGTGCACACGCACACATGGCATTGTCTCTATTGCCAATATATTCTACCCAGCTGTGTCTTCATATACTGTATAGATATTTAATGAATTAATGAGTTTGGTATCTATAGAATATATTAAAGTTTATGTACATAGCAACAGGCATCCATTCTAAAATGTATGTTGTTCATAGATGCCCCACCCTCCACCTCCTTGGTGCAGGAGTTTGCTTCAGAGTTTGGGGTTGTGCCTACGTTGTTGGCCAATTCTGAACTTTAAAATTCCTCTCCCTTTCCCATCCTATCGCTGCCTCTCCTCCAGCGTCACCAGGGACAGCTCACAGGGCTGTCCTTCTCTCCTTTCTGGAGTCTTCTCAAGGAGTGCAGTGGAGGAAGGCCTCGAAGGTGCTGGAAGAACTGGAGAAGGCAAGGGCTCAACTGGGCATAAACATTCAAAGCACCACCTTGGGCTGGGCACTGTGCTAGGCACAGGGGCGCTGGATGCCCAAGACCCTCCCCAGTGTGCCCTCTAGGGGTTGCCTTGAAAGCCAAGGCAGAAATGCACTCTGGGCTCCTTAGAACAATACCCTGGTGAGAGGACCGGCACACCAGGGAGGCCAGACAAATGGGGGTCACGCAGAAGGAGGCCCACGCAGGTCGCCCCCAGGAGCTGCCCGGTGTTTGCTCCAAAGCCTGCAGACCCTGGGAAGTTGACCTCTCTTAGTCACCGGGTGATTGGTGCAGGAAGGGAGGGGCGTGCAGGGCTAAGTGCTGACGGGATGTCCCTGTCAACACAATGTTCCGCCTGGCCGGGCCTTCATATATAAAGATATTTAATGAATTAGTTAATTAATGAGAGGAGTGTGATTGATAGATCATATGGCGCTCGCAGCAGGGTGAGTCTGACCCCGATAAGGCCGCCTCGGCTGCAATCCGTCCCCCTCATTGGTCGGGAGAGTGTGGTCGCTCCAGCAATTTGCATGCATTTAATGTAGCTCTTTAATAGGATGTAATGTTAGCGAAAGCCAAAAGCGCAGCAGCTGTAACTTAAAAGACAGCCCCATTACTGCAAGCCTTATAATTAGGGTAAGAGGGAGACTCGGTCTGCCATATGTTAAACTCTTTTGAGGTTAATAGCTCTGTAAGATTTTTGCAATTTAAAAAAATTGCACTTGAAGGATGATGACAAGGCTCATCAATGAGGCGCCTATGCACCCGAGGGAAGGGACAGAAGGATCCCATGTCCCCAGAACCCCCCTTGCCCGGGGACAGGGCAAAGTGGCCCCTCTCCCGCCACAAGCCGCCCAGTCTCCCCTCCTACTCCCTGTTCTGCACCAGCTCTTCCACTCCAGCTCCATTAGCGCAGAGCTGCTCCTGCACTGCGCGGATCGCACCTCTCCCCACCTGCAGCACGCGGCTTCGGCTGCCGCAGGTCGAGAGCAGCCGGGCCGGGAAGCGTGGCGCCAGGCGCGCAGGCACCCACGCCCGGGAGAAGCACCGCGTGTGCTTACCTTGCAAAGTCTGGCAACTCCAGAGCAATTGCGGGTCCCCGCAGGTTATCTGAGCTGATTGCACAGCGGGCCCGAATCAGGGAACACACAGCAGGTGCTGGGGGCGGGAGGGGGGGCGGTCAGTCGCCTGGAATTTGCTTGGTAATTACCTGGCACAGGGCCTTGAGGGTGTTCGTCCCCTCTGTGACCAAGCCCACGTGGCAAGGGGGACGCGAGTTCGGTGTGCGGCCAGGTTCGGGCTCGGAAACAGATGCCAGCACGTAGGCCCTGGAGCGCTGCCCCTACACCCCAACTGCGCTGCGACAAGGAACAGGAAGCCCTGGATCGCACTCAGCAAAACCCTGGAGGAGCCCAGCGGCACCCGCCTAACCTCTGGTGCCTTTCCCAAGTCTCCCTCCCTAGCGGCCAGAGGGCGGGGGGCGGGAGAGAAAGCGGGTGCTGGGAGAGTCGCTGTAGAAACAGGAGCTCTCTCTGGAGACTGGAGCGGCCTCGCCTGCACGGTCCCTCCCGCTCTGCGCTCGGCAGGGAGCGGAGCAGAGCTGCCCGCTTGGCAGATTCTCTCCCCTGGGAGCTCAGCCTCCCGCCCCGCGCCCCCTCCTCGCTCCCCGCCAAGCGCGTAGGTGTCCGACCAAATTTCTGATGACAGACACTCCAGACAAAATAACAACAGGGGAAAAAAGAAATCCCTCGGACTTTTTTTTTTTTTTTAAAGGGGGCTCTTGTTAGAAGGAAATTACAGGAGCGATAAAATGACTGCTAATTGCGCAATTATCTGATTATCTCTGGCACCAAAAATACGTGAGATCCTTTCCCCCTCCCAGCCACTTAAAGAATTTCTCAGGGACACCCCATGGTGAAAGGCGCTTATCTTGCCAAACCCGCAGGGACCAAGGAATAGGAGAAAAGGAGACATGAAACAAGGGTAGCACCGAGAAGGTACAGGGAGTCTGATGCACCCAGCCAGGGACAAGGAAAAGGTTTGGGCGGAATAAGGGCCGGAAAGAGGCGAGAGAGGGGGCAGCAGGTGCGCATTCCTGTGAACTACATGCGTGAGACCTAAATGGGCTTCAGATATTATTTCATAGGTGTGACCCGTAGAGGTCAGGCCACTTATTTGTTCAAAGACTTGGGAGCCGGAAGGAGGGAGGAAAGATGCGGACTGCTCACATATGGGCTCTGTCCTAACCCCTCACTGCCTTTCTGGGACATGGACTATAGTCCATTTTTGTGACCAAGTTGAAAAACAACATAAAAAAAAACCCTGTATTTGACATCCTGATTTAAAATGCCACTTATGCGCCTGCCTGGCAAGCGCGAGGTCATGAGTTCGATTCCCAGTACCGGAAAAAAACTAAAAAATAAAAAAAAATAAATAAATAAAATGCCATTTATTGGTAGCTGCTAAAAGTAGATCCAGCCATGTGTGATGGCACAAGCCTGTAATCCCAGCACTTTGGGAGGCTGAGCCAGGAGGATCACAAATTCAAACCCAGCTCCAGGCAACTTAGTGACTTAGCAAGACTCTGTCTCAAAGTAAAGTAAAATGCAATGAAAGAGGCTGGGGATGTAGCTCAGTGTGAAGGCCCAGGGTTCAATGTACTCCTCACTAAAAGTGGACCCAACTCCAACGGCTAACTTTCGTTAGCACTTTATGATCTATAAAGCATTCCCCTCTGCTTTTTCTCATCCTTTGCGGACTTACCCTGTTCTCTCACTCTCCCCCTTTTTAAGTGGGTTTAACTAAAACTTAGAAAATAGAAAGAGTTCCCAAGGCCTTAGGACTTGTCACAGGAACACCTAAGGTTCAAAGCATTGTATCTTGGAGCCTTTCTTGGGGACGGAAGCCAGGGCTTGCGGGGTTTCTCTGCACAGGCCTGACAACATGGAAATAAGGTGCTGAAACTGGGTTTCATGATTTTCTTTACACTCGTAATTTTTGTAGGTCAATGGCTCAGGCTTTCTTTCCGCTTGGATGTGGCCCAGTCATCTGGAGCTGTTTTCCCACGGGAAGGCATTTCACTTGGTGCACCAGCCTGAAACGTCACCTTCGGGTCACCAAGGACACCTCGGCTCCTTGACGGAAGAGGTGCTGGCAGGCTGGATGCAGTGTCCGCACTGCTTCCTGATTTCCCTGCCGTAACCTCATCAACCAGTCAGGGTTAGGAGTGAGATCCCAACCTTGTTCTGCCTCTTCTTCCTGGATGCCATAGCTGAGGAAGGAAGGGGTCCAGAGGCTCCACCTCCATGAAGCTCAGGAGTGTGGGGCTGAGTTGAGGACCACTGTAGCTTTCCAGAGATTTCTTGGCAGTCCCAGCCATTGCTCCATAATCACCATGTCCCCGTCAGGTGCTCTCCTGCAGGGCGGCAATGGTTGCTTCAGAATTACCATCCACAGATCAATAGCCAGCCGATTATTGGGCCTTGCACACAACCAGCGGGGCTCACTCTGGAGGCATGTGGCGATGCATGCAGGAACACAGGTTCCCTTCATTAGGGCAGCTGGGCTCCAAGTGAGAGCAGCGCACGGCCAGAGACTCCCAGGACTGGCAGGCAGGCTCTGTGGAGCCAGGGCTCTGGATGGAGGGTACAAGAGGAAGGACTGGGTGAATTGCTTCAGAGCATCTTCCGGAGGAAGCGGGGCTGACCCAGGCCTCATCCCTCATCTAGCCAGCTCCCGGCATCCTTTCCCTTACAAGTTAATGAAAAGTAAACAAACTGATGTTTCCCATCAACTGCCCCTTGATAGGAGCTCCCTTGGGCCAAAGAGGTCAATGCTCAGTCAAGCAGGATGTTGAGGCCAGAGCAGGCGCAGAGACAAAGCTCCAGGCTCTGGGCTGTAGGGAAACTTCCCAGAGACTCCAGCCCCCTGCACATTCATATTCATCAACACTGCGACTGTGATACAAATGCTGACGACACAAAGACAAGTCAGACTTATGCTTTAGGGGTTAATAGTCTTATGGGAAAAATAGACACACGCCTTTTAGATTTGGACAATATTAGACATCTCCAAGTCTAACACCCTCAAATTACAGATGGGAGAGAACTCAGGGCCAGAGGGTGAAATGACTCTGTCAAGTCTGGAACTATGTGTCTGGACTCCTGCTCTAGTGCTCTTCCAACCGTGATTTAATTAGGTGGCAGAAATTAAGCAGGCGCCAGCCCTCTGTCACTGGGCCTAGCCAGAGTGGCTCGTCTCCCCAGGCACTTTCCTCCCCTCCTTCTCTCCTACAGATGTTGATGCATGATTAGCAGCTACTCCATCTTTCCAAAGTTTGCAGGTTCATCTGGCAGAGGGATTGATAACATTTAAATTATCGCATTGAAAGGGAAATGTACTTCTCAACACTATCTATTTCCAGGGAAGAGTGCTTTGGCCAGGACGGACATAGCAAAACTGGGTACAGGAGGAGAGGGTGGCACAGATCAGATAGGAAGATAATGAGCCAGCTGGAGTCCTCCCTGGGTCAGGTGTGGGAAGTACACTCTCAGCCTGCCTTCTTTTTCAAGGAAGAATGGAACAGGTACCTCCTGTGTTCTTTTAGTGTATTACACAAATTCCTACCCCAGGGCCTTTGCACTAGTCCTTCACTTCCTGTGGTTTGGATAAGTGATCCCTAACCTATAGTACTGTTTGGAGGTTGTGGAACTTTAGGAGTTGGGGCCTAGTGGGAGATCTTCAGGCCACTGCAGGCAGACTCCTGGATCAGAGTATGAGCCACATGGGAGTGTGAGGAAGAGACTCTTCCTCTCTTTTGCTCCCTGGTCATGAAGTGAACATTTTTTCTCCACCACACATTCCCACCATGATGTGCTGCCTCACCACAGGCCCAAACCTAGGGAGCCAATCAACCACGGACTGAGATCTCCATAACTTGAGCCAAAATAAATCTCTTTATAAGTTGATTACCTCAGGGATTGTTATGGTGACAAAAAGTTGATTGCCACATCCTTCTATTAGGGTTCCTCAGCTACCAGCATAACTCGCTCCCTGGCCCCTGCTGGGTTTTGCTCCAGTAGCACCATGTCAGAGGAGACCCACCCTGAGGTCCCTGCTGAAGGCCGTGATGCCGTCTCCTGCCAGGCAGCTCCTCACCCCGCTGTCTGGTCTCCACAGCGCTAACGACACCTGGTCAGGTGTACGGTGTGGTTATTCGCCATGATTTTCCTGTCTGTCACTACTAAGAAGCCAGTGTCGAGAGCAGGGTTTTGTGGGTTTGGTTCACAGCATGCAGACCACTGCTGAAGGACTAGTAGGTGCTCAGTAAATGTTGCGTGGAGACAGGAATTAAAAACTGAATCAACGATCTACAAATAGAATGGCTGGGAGATCCCATGAGACAAAGCGAAACTCTCAATTTGTGCTGAAGAGATGGAGGCCAGGGAGGTGAGAGAGGGTTTCACGGTGAAAGAGATAAGCTAGATTTTCTTTTCCTTTTCTCTCATTTTCCTCTTCTGCAACACTTTCAGTCTATATATTTGTTCATTCATCCGTCTGTTCACATATTCATTCATAAAATACTTGTTGGCCATTTATTACTTAATCAATGTGTAAAAATAATATCTGCATTTTAAATAATTATTAAAATAACCCTTGATACTGTATTTAATATAATGTTACTGACCAGTTTGTCCCAGCCATCTTGCTAAGCACTTGATGTCTATTATCTCATTTGAACAACTAAGTACAATACTTCCATTAGCCCCATTGTACAGATGAGAAGGTTAAGGCCCAAAGAGGGTAAATGACCTGTGCTAGGGACACAGTGGAAAATGGAGGAGGTAAGACCTAGGCTAAGGTCTGTTAGGCTCCAAACCCTTGTCCTGCACCTCTACATCTCCTTTCCCCAAATAATCACCATCACCACCCCCACCCCCACCCGTTTTTCTTTTTTGTTCCTGTCTCTGGGACCAAAATAATGGCCCCACCAAGGAGGCAGGAGAGTCAGCCAAGGTCACCCAGAGCTGGAGGCCTTTGGAAGCTGCATAATCCCGCTGCTCCCTCCAAGCGACCTCTCTTCGCCCATCTGCTCACCTCCTCCTAGCTCCACACTCTGAGCCGACATACAGATGCTGATGTGATTCCCAGCACCAGGATTAGTCCCTGGGAAAGAGGGCTCATAAAACCTGACGGTGGTTTTATAACGTATTCTTAGCTTTTACAGGCGTCCTGGGCAGCTGAGGCCCACAAGCAGCAAAGCGCCTTGGGCAGATGGGCAGCCCTGTGGACCTAGAATTGGTGGGAACAGCTGCCGGAAGACAGCACCACTGCTTAGCTGCCTGCATGGGGAAGGGCAAGGGGAACGAGCCTGTCTTCCGCTCCTGCCAGTTTAAAAAGCCCCTTCTTGCCGGCTGCCCATCGGGTGAGTTAGGTAGACTTTCGGGACCACGCAGGAGGAACTCAGCACAAAGAGATTTCCCAGACCAGTAATGGTGATGCAAACAGCCTGCTGCAGCACGCGTGCCGTGGGCGCACCACACTGCGACCCTGAGGGCCCACCTGAG